CGCGCACACGAGGCGGCACACTTCTCGCTCGCGCCCGTGCCAGCCGCTGCGCGACGTCCGGGCTGAAGCGCCCTCCAACCTCAAGCGAAAGGACCACCAGCCTGCAGCGCGAGTCAGGGTGCAGGAGCTCCGGGTATGTGAGGCAAGCGCAGGCGTCGCAACAGCAGCGCACGGAAATGCGCGGGCTCCAAGATCAACTCCGGGCAAACACGGAGCATCAAAAAGACCTGGGCTGAGCACGGTCCGGACTGGGACAGCAGCATCATGTGGTTGCGGCACATCGTCGCCAAGGAGCTGGTGCCAATGAGGGGCCTCAAACCCCTGCCGAGCGAGCAGTGTCACGGTTGCCTGGAGCATGCCCAGGACACGGCAACAAAGCACATCCGGCTCCAGTTGGCGTGCAATATGTTGCGCAAGGTCGGGATCTTTGCGGTGGATCGCCGACAAGCTGTCAGCCCACGAGGCCCAAAACGCCGCAGGTGCATGCAGCCGGGCTGAACGCAGCCCTAGCCCACCATGGCGGAAGGCAAGTTGTGATTGCCGACTGGCCGTGTCCGGGACCAAAAAAAAAAAAAACAGCATTGCACGGAAACATCTCTGCACTGCAGCATCGTGCTCCAAAAGATCGGTGAGTTCTGGGGGTATGATACCAAGTGCATAGTTGGACCGTGGCGACGCGCAGCACAGCAACAGCAGCTAAGCGACCTGCAGGCCAGGAAGGGCCGGGAGGACTTGCAAGAGGCGAAGTTGTTTGTTGCGCACTGCGTCGAGCTGGGCCCGCACGAATGCATGTCCGCCCAAAGGGGCTCTTAGAACGGTAATCCCTTGCTCTGCCCCGGGGAGCTGAGCATTGCCACGCCATACATCTGCTGCCTGATGTCCGCCAGGCCTGGCGGCTCCACGGCGGCTGCGTTCCACACACGTGTTTTGCGTGATTAAGGGAAATGCGGGCACGTTCATACAGGCACCGGGGCGCAGCCTGAAACAGTGGTTGTATGCGATCAGGCTGCGCTGTCAAGTGCAAGTCATCCAAAAAAGGTAAGAAAACCCCAGCATCATTTTTTTTTCCGCGCGCCTTTTTCCATCGCCTTGGTTCGTCCCCCCGAAAACCCTGCTTAAGGGGAGCCGCCGGGCACGGGAGGCACACAAGCCATTTGTACCCCGGGGACCACCGACTTCGTCGACACGATCGACCTGGAGATTCATGTCTGCCAAGCGGGTGTTGCAAGTCACCCTCGCCCCGGCCCGCTCGAGAGGGCACCCGCGGCTCCGGAGGACACCGGCCCGAGCACAGGCTGCGCGGTGGTCGCCGAGGGAGTCCAAAGGGCGACGACACCGGCAGCAGCGCGGGAAAGTGGCAGCGGAAGGCGCGGGCGCCTGAGAAGGAGGACGCGGAACAAGTGGGAAGGATAGGACAGGGCGGTGGGCACGTTGGTCAAAAAGCGGCTGGCGAAGGGGCCCTGCTGTGACCGGAGCAAGGCCTCGCTGGATGGGTCCAAGGTGGAGAGCAGCTGCTCACACTGGGGCGGGCAACAGCTGATGCCGCGGCCCCTTGCCATCCGCGAACAAAGGTGGAGGGCCCGTCTTCCTGCAAAGTCACAGAGCTCACGCCAGCTCGGGGGAGTCCAATCCGCCAGGCTGAGCTCGGCGCGTGTTGTGGCAGCAGCGCGAAGACACGGCACGTGCGGACGGAGGAAAGCTTGCGCCGCAGGCGGCAAGTGCTGACCGAGGACAGGCAAGCAATTCGCCCAAGACGCCCAATACGCAGAGACAGAAGTCTGAGCAGCAGACATCAAGCGGCTTGGCCCGCCACCCAGCTATGCACGACCGTGGCGCCCGCCGCGCAGCCCAAAACAAGAACCAGGGGCAGCCAAAAGAAAAAAGGACAACACAAAACCACACAGACCCAAAAGGGGGCAGCCAACACAAACTTGAGCTTGAACCAAAATGGCTTGAGCCAAAATGGCTTTTGGAGCGCGGCTGGTGTCGCGCCTGCCGGAATCCAACGCCTCCCCCACTCTGTGGAGGTTTGGGTTGGGAGCCACGCCCTCCCTAGTGACCAACGCGGCATCCGTGTCCTCGGCACTCCGCTTGGGAGTGGCGAGTTCATCGCTGCCAGCCTGGCTTGCCGCAGCGCTGACCATGCAGCCCTTCTCGGCCAGCTCCCCGGCCTGCCGGATCTCCAGGCTGCTTGGCGGTTGCTCCTTTACTGCGCCCTCGCCCGCGCCCACTACTTCCTACGCGTCCTGCCCCCTGAGCAAACGCGGGCTTTTGCGGCTGAGCACAACCGTTCCCTCCTCCACTGCTTGGCGAACCTCCTACAGTTTGAGCGGCCCAACTTCCACCGCCGCCAGCACTGCCCAGCTTGCCACGGAAAGCTCGGTCTCCGCAGCGCCGTGCAGCAAGCCCCAGCCGCGTTTTAGGCATCTTGGGCGGATAGTTTGCCTTCCCTCGCCGTCCGGGCGCCCGACGTCTTCGCCACTCTCCTGCCTCAGCTCGAGTCCGACTCCGCTTCAGCGCGCGCTCTCTGCGATGCTCGCCCGTCCTTGCTGACTTCCGGTACTCCGAAGCGCCCGAGTGCAGTCGGCTGCCTGTGCCCGGACGCTGACTGGGTCAGCAACAGCGCTGCATGTGTGGGGAGGCTGGCCTCCACAGCAACAACCTAAGTCCTCCAGTGCCCGGTTTTCCGGGGGGTGAGCCAGTGGACGGGCAGACGGAAAAAAGGCGTGAGAAAAAAGGGAACAACAGCGTCACTGCGATCTGCGCAGAGAATCGCGCGCGCAAATCAGAAATCATAAGCACTTCTCAGTTTTTGCACCTCCACCACGCCAATCAACGCAGAGGCTCGTGCGCGAACCGCAGAAATCGCAAACAGTCCTGAGTTTTTGCACCCCGACTACGCGAATCCACGCAGTCTTCAGCTTTTGGACATCGACCACGCCAATCCACGCAGAGGGTCGTGCGCGCATGTTAAAATCGTAAAAAGTTGTCAGATTTTGGACATCGACCACGCCAATCCCCGCAGAGAATCGTAAAAATCCCCGCAGAGGGTGTCATTTTCGCAGGGTGGGTTCGGTCCCACCGCGCCGCCTTGAGAGACTAACTAATGACTCTCGTGTCCACATGTCTCGTGCAAGTTTGGCTGTGTGATATCTCGTGCAAGTTGTTCTCGTGCAAATTGGCTCGTGTAAGTTGGCTCGTGCAAGTGTGCAAGTTGGCTCGTGCAAATTCAAGTTGGCTCGTTTAAGTTGGCTGTCGTGCAAGCTGGCTCGTGCAAGTTGAGGAAGCAGGGCTGGCCCTGCGAGGTGCTCGATGCTCTGGCCCTGGCGCGCCTGCCAGCTCTTCAAAGCCCGACGGCTCCTCGACCGGCTGCGGGCCCTGGTCGAAGTGCCGGCCGGGGCTGGCACCAAGTACCATTCATCGAGGAACGCGACCAGAAACTTTCCCTCGTACAGCTTCACTTGCGCGGCGGGCACTGCGGCATGCTGGCCTAAGCCACACAGCGCGGGCGCGAGGGTCTCCCTGCTCGCCCCCCTAACTGACGCGGCGCGTGCCTTCCGCACCCCACCACAAGTAGCCGTAAGTGTGATGTCACTTGCGACGGTTCTTTACTTTGAAGACCACTCCCGAAGTCATGAGTGCGTGACGCCGCAGACAGGAACATTTGGCTTCGGCTTGCTGGCCCTGTTGTATTTTTTTTCTGAGCCCCGCGCTCCGATCTTTGGCACGGGAAGGAAAAGGCGTGAGATCTTTCCCGCAGTTTCTTTTGCATGTGTTCGGTTTTGCACCAACGGATCATGCCGACCTCGAGGCTCAAGTTTGGTGGTGCTGGGCGAACCTTTGAGTCTTTTTCTTTTAAACGCTGACATGTCACCATCCGTACTAAACTTCCTTGTTTGGGTCGGGGGTGAGCGTCGAAGTAAAAATATGCGAATACAAGCCAGGAACTTCGTCAAGAAGCCTGCGCGCAACAAAATGCTATCCTACGAACTCCGGCCTCAAGGAAACCGATTGCCGCGCACTTGCAGTGCGCCCGCATGGCTAGGGAATCTGTGCCTATGCGTGTCTGCATAGCATACTGAAAAAACAAAAAACAAAAAATGGACGAGTATTCGCATCGAAGTCGAAGTCGGACCCCAACCGCCGATGCTGGCGTGTTTGCTGGTCGGTCGCACTTGAGGGTCGTCCCACAACAGTCGCTCGCCACTATTGCGGGACGACCCTATCCTGCGCGGGAGTCGCCTCCAGGACCGGCGCCGGACCTGGTGACCTATGGCGCCACAGACTGCGGAGAGGCCTTGCGTCGCGACGCCACTGGCCACGGCTGCCCGGCAGCGCCTCCTTGCTCTGGCGGGCGGTGGCATGAGGACGCTGCGACGCTGGTGCGCCAGATTGCGCGCGTGTGCGTGCGCGCCGGGCGCCTCCCGCGCTCCGCCGACTTGCGCTTGCGAGCTGGCCTCCGCTGGTGGGCTTGCTTGGCGTTGCGGTGCAGGCTGCGGTTGTGTCATGACATGTCTTGGCGATGGAGATTGGGACATGAGGAAGGGAGGCCGCAACAAGGTCCTCATCCCGCGTCCGCGAACCAGGCATGAAACATACTTGTTCACAGGGGGAAGCTGTGGGTTCTGCGAAGCATGCTCGCTGGTTTGGCATCCTGCGTTTTTGCTGAGTCCTTGCCTGAAACTCGTGTGAGTGCGACTGGGTGCAATGTGGGTGGCCCCCAACATCAGTTTTCTGCTCTCCGATTCAGGCGCGAAAAAGGAGGAGGAGCTGGCCTGCAAATCCCCCGAGACGCAATCCCGGTGCCCGCAGTTCCCATAGGGGCAGGGTACAAAAAGAGAAAATCCACACAAAAAGTATTGACCTTGAAGTTTTTGTCAAACAAATACCGTTACCTGGTTGGGCTGGGTGCAGTGGGTGGGCGGGCGGGCGGGCGGGCGGGCGGGTGGGTGGGTGACGAATCTATTGGTTCCACATCTGTTTGTGCACGTTGCTTTTTTAAGTTGGCCCAAGCTGACGTGCAAGCGGCTTTCCCCATCGTGCTCAGGGATAGGTGCTAGGAGCCATGTTGGTTGCCTCCCCAGCGTTCGTTGCAGCTCGGCTTTGAAAGCGCTGTTTCCCCAGCGTCCTTGTGGCGCTCTTGTTCCGCAGCGTCAGGCCCAGCCCTTTGCCGCACAGCACGGTGGCCCTGTCCGCGCCCCGCTGGGCAAGGCTCACGGCCGGGAAGAGACATCAAAATCAGGAAGGCAATCTCCCCAAATCATTTGAAGCCCATACGTTCAGGAAGTAGCTCAAGAAAGCATTATGCATGCAGACTGTGCGAAGCCTGCATGATGTGAATCACTGCGATACTGTTGCATGTCCGGGAATGAACATACATTTTATTGAAGCACAGGATCCCTTGATGTCCGTGTAGCCGACAGGGCATGAGGGATTCTTTAATTTTGTCAGGGCTTAGGTTGTCTTTGCCAGGTGCCAGAGAGCGCAGGCCCAGGACCGCGAGGTGGGGGGGGGGGTGCTGTTCAAGTCCTGGCACGGTCTCGCGGCAGTTCCGTTGGGAGGGCTCTGAAGGATCTTTGCGCCGCGAGGCGTCGCAGGCGTCACGCTTGCAATTGCAACTGCAGCTCTGGCGCGCAGCTCCAGGCAGGCTGTTTGTATGCCGGCTTGTCGCTGGGCGGCTGTTTGGGGGTGCTTCTTGTTAGATTTTTTGGTTTAGGGTTTAGGCTTATTGTTTCTATATTTTTTTTGGAGGGGGGCGGGGGGGGAAGGGGGGCAGGTTTAGGAGCTTTAGGGTTAAGTTAAGATTTATAGTTTTACGGTTTAGCTGTTTTTTTGGATTATTTGTTTTGGGCTTGGGACTTTTGGTGTTTAGGTTTAGGGTTGTTAGGATTTAGGTTGAAGGTTTTTTGAGGCTTATGTTTGGCTGTTTAGGTTTCGGGTGCGTTAAGGTTTCGATGTAGGTTGTTTAGGGTTCAGATCTTCGGCTCCTGGGGTTTAGCTTTAGAGTTTCTAGGGTCTAGGCTTGGTTTTTAGAGGTTTTAGGGTTTAGGTTCAGGGGTTGTTGGGTTTAGTGGGGTTTCTAGGAACGCAGAGAGATGGGAGGAGACTTCGCTTTCCGTCAAGTTGGGGAGCCAGGTCCGAGGTTGGAGCGCGAGCGTGAAAGTCAAAGGGCCGCGCAGCAAGTTTCAGCTGCTGAGCTGTCCCAAAGGGCGGAGCAGATCACACGGATCCCAGCTTTTTGGAAATCAACAGCTGGGGATGGAGACCAGGAATCCCGCACGGAAGCCGAAGCGCGCGGTGCTTCACGCCAGCGAAGCCGCGCCCCAAGACGTGAGCCGAAACGCAGACTTGTTTGTTTAGCCCCGAGCTGTTTGCAACGGCTCTGGGAATGGTGCTCTTTTATTTGTGTGGCCTCATTTCCTCCCGATTCTTTCAGGCAGTGCCTGGTTTTTGTTTTGTACTTCTTTTTTTTTTGTGCAATTTGGGGAATGTGCAGAGCTGCAAAGTCCAAGCTGTACAACTTGAACACGCTCCAAGCCTCTGCTTCATGAGAACCCGGGTTTAATAAGATCAACAGGGAGGCGTCGCAATCAAAAAGAAGGAATCTTTCAATATAGACGCACCATCCCCTAAGTGTCCATGAGGTTGATCAGTCCAGGGTCGACATTAGTTGCTTTGCCCATCGCACATTGGGACCGCCTGTTTTCTGAGGATGGAGCTTCACGAAGAGGTGCTACGTGAGTGTGCTGGAAGGGTGAGGGGTGAGAATAGCTTCGTTGCGATGGGCAGAGGGTGCAGGAGGGAGCAACTGCTTTCAGCAGGCCTCTTTGGAGCGGTAGCAGCTGGGCCCCTCTTGGCATCTGCTTGGCCCCCAACAGCCGCCGTTGTCGAGATGGACCAGAGACAAGCCAGCACACAATGGAAATCCCTGCTAGAAGTCTAGACGCTTTTGACTTTCCCGTTTTGAGCTCCTACAGGATTGACCTCCAGGTGCCGGCAGGTACTGGCTAGTTTTGAGCCTGGCACCTGGAAAGCTGCCCCTTTAAGGCGCCCGCGCTTGCGGCTGAAAAGCTCGCAACGCAGCTGGAGGCGTGCCGCGCATTGTTTCGTGCCGCGCGCGGTCGAGTCCATGAAGCCGGGTGCCTTACACAGATAGACAGGCCATGAGCGCAGCCATCTTGAAGGGCCAGGGGGGGGGTTCCACGTTTAGCAACTTGTTTGACCCAGCACATCGTTGCATGTTGGCAGCACGTCAAGGTGTTCCACGCAGTTCCCAAGGGTCCCTGTTTGTAGGTCGAAACAGGTAGACATGGGCTTCCATGCAAGCCCTGTTGCCTTTTCAATCCTGCGAATGTAATGCAATACAATACAATGCAACGTAGTTAATGCAATATAATGCAATGTTGCAATGTAATGTAGTGTATGCATGCATGTGTGTATGTACGCGTGTATGCATGTATGCATGGTGCAGCGTCCCCTACACCCCCCCCCCCCCCTTTGTGTTGCCCTGTGATTGGGTTGTCGCGGGTTGGTTTAGGATGGGTCTATGCTTGGTGAAGGGCTGGTTTAGGGTTGGTTTGTGGTTTTCGGGTTGGTTAGGGTTGGGTTGGGGCTGGTTTCGGGTTGTTCCATGTTTTTCTATGGGTTCCACTGTGATATTTGGGAGGTGTCCGGCCTGGGCGGCAAGCGGGGCAAGCAGCTGAACGGCAGCAGCCCTGGCATAGTGGCGGCAGGCTGTGCCACTTTTGCAGTTTTGAAATCAGTTCAGCAGCACTTCAAGAAGACGCTCCCTCCTGAAGTAGGTCAAATCAGCCAATGACATGAGGTGGAGACACAAGAAACACTGTGCGGCATCACTTCGTCCGAGGTTTGTGGAGCGTCTACCCCGACAAGCGGGCCGGTTTCCCATTCAACCGAGCTTCAAAAAAGAGCTACTGCCATGAGCCGTTTGAGGTGAACGACCGCGCGGTGTTCAAGAAGGACTCCCGACCTGACCTTTCTAAGCGTGAAAGCCCATGGACGCGTGCGGCGCACGCTTGCGTTGCAATGAGTGAGGACGACCAAGAGATCTACCTCACTTACAACAACTGCCAGCAGTTTCAGCAAGCCATGCCTTGATTGAAGGGCCGGAATTGTGCATTGCGCTAGAGGTGCAGACGCCTCTTAGAGGGCTTTTGAAGGAGCAACCGCCCTTGCAGATTGCGCAATTCTCCGCATTTGTTTCATCACTCCGTTTACCTACCCACATAAAGGGAATTGTGCCACCCTGGTGTACCTGAGCTGCTCATTTCACTGCAAAGTGCTCGCCAGGATGGCCAAGAAGCCCACCGGGGAGTGCGAGGGTTTTGCCCTTGAGCCGGGGGCCTAGGAATCAATCTGGGCTTGCGTGGCTCAAGCGGAGTTCTTGAATCTCAGGACCAAGGGCGTTTGGGAGGTGGACGGCTATGACTCCCCCAGTATGAAGTTGAAGCCTGTGAAAGCCCAGGACTGGCCGGGGGCGGCGGGAGGGGGTGGGGGGCGGGTTTGCGAGTCCTCCAAGTGCTTGCAGCCGGCAGTCCGGCAGAGTGTTGGACTCCTCGCCAGCGGTGAGGGGCCGAAGGATGCATAGTTTGGCCTAGGCACCGGGTGAGGCGGCGGCGCCGGCCAAGGCTGGGGCAGCTGGTGTTCATGTTCTCGGAGTGAGTGGAAGAGTTGACATTTCTTTGCTGCGAAATTGGGGCAGCAGCTGCCACATGTTTTCTGGCTGCGTGGGCCGGATGTCAAGGATGTTTGGATTGCCCAGTTTGGGGGCGAAGTCGCTTAGCTGACTTCAGGCCGGCATGTTGCAGCTTCCAAGTTTCAGCTTCGGCGGCAGCTCCACGCAAGAGCCCTTGTGCCAGTGCTCGCGCGAGAGCGGGGTTTGCCATGCCTTGGCAAACTTAGGGAAGAAGACGAGTGTTGGCCTGAGATGTCAATCCGCATCAGCCTTGAAGACTTCCGCCTGGCTGAGGGGCTACGTGCCACCCAAGATCGCTCCAGCCTCAAGTGCGAGCGGTTGCTTTGATGTCCATTGCAGGCGGTGGTGCAGATTCCCTTCTCAAATCCTTTGTTGACTTTGCGCGCCGGGCGTCATAAACGTTTGAGACATGCGCCATGGCAGTTGCAATCCCAGGAAGCTGACGAGGCTTGAAGCCGCACCGGCAGGGCATCCATTTCTGACAGAAGGGATGCGATCCTCAGGGCTCCTTCAAAGATACATCTTGCCCATTTGAAACATGGCTTTTTCCCCAGAATAAAGAGAAACCACCATTTATCAAGGCAATGTTCAGATGTATAATGTAAGGATCCCTGTATCCTTATGTTTGCTTTGGCTGGCAGATGCTAGAGCTAGAAAATGCTCTTTCTTGGATTGACAGTCTTCAAGTCTACGCTAAACAGTGTCACTCACCTTCCGTGGCCATGCTGACTCATGTTTGCTGATCACTGCGTGGCAAACCGCAACAGAAAGACAACAAGAGCCAAGCACATCGACTGAGTCAAATGGTCCCATATTTTTTTTTGGATTTGTCATAGCTGAGATTCGCTCACCCCGCAGACTGGCTCCTTCCAATACGCTGGTATCTTCAAGCTGGACCCCGGTGAGCCCGGCCCTCAGCGCCGGTGCCTGTGTGGCGTGTGTGCCTGAGAAGGAAGCGGGCAAAACTCGAGCCGTGGGTTTCAAATGCTCGGGGAATTCGGCCAGGGTAGGCCGTTGGCCACAAGATTTTGCACTGTGGGGCTGTGGCTTGTTCGGATCACCTGGGCCGGCTGCCGCCAACTGCCGCCAACTGCCAGAGCATTCTTTGTCCCAAGCGAATTCCCATTGGTGGTGCAAGATCCCGGGCACGATGAGATCTAGTTCTCGTCTAGCATTGCTCCCCTGGAGCCATGCCACATGTTCGCATGATTTCTCACCATTCTTGCCTGACACTTGATGCCCAGTCTCGGCTCTTTCAGCTTTCCACTTTACTATTTGACGCCTTGATGTTTACATGGGCATCCACCATTCATGGAATGGTAGATCTGGGTATTTCTGGGGTAAATTTACAGATCAGGACGTTTCTTTTTGCGTAGATCAGAGTTTCGACTGAGTGCGAAGATCGCGGACAGCCTGGAGTCCAAGCTCCTCGCCCGGAAGTGAGCGGAAGCAGGGTCAGCGGAGCGGAGCATCTTTGTTTTTTTTGAAGCCTCGAGCGATTTCATTGGCCGGGGCGCGGGAAGTTTGGGCGCCCTTCCCCCCCGGTTTGTTCATCCCCCCTCAGGCGGGAGGCCCTGGCCTTTGGATTTCCGGGGAGCGCCTGAGATTTCAAGGCTCACATTCTCCGCGGCGTATAAAGATGGCGCCGTGCGCCTCTGGTGTTGCGTGAAGCGAAAGCATGGCGCGTGGCTTGCGTGAGTTGAGCTGGAGCCTTGAGGACTGCCGCCGGCCGTATCGCCATGTGCCCCGAATCATACGCTGAGCTTCGGGAAACCATGGCACCAACTTTGCAGCAGGTCTCAGCAAGTAAAGCACAGCTTAGCGGTCCGCATGCGGCAATGGCTATGGATGTGGCCGGAAGCCCAGAATCTCGGGCTCAAGCAAAGCAATTGGGGCAGGTCTGGACTGAGTGCTGTGTCCGCACACATTTCGGAGGCTGCTACTCCAAGGATCTCCCTGTTGTGATTCCTAGATGAGGCATGCGACCTCGTACGATGTCGTTTGTGGAAGGCTCAAGGTCAGAATCGATTTCTCTCTTTCATCTTACCCGGACAGGCGGCGCCACAACGGTGCATGAATGCAACCCAAGGCCAACCGGCAAACTATACGCATCATCCTGCAAGGCATCAAAATGCTTCTTTGCAGGAAGCTGTTGCTTTTGGATATGCGAGCCTTATGCCGCATAGCTTATGCCTTTCTCCTTGGGAGAGATGCACACACTTGTTAGTATAGGTAAGTCACATACTATACTTATGTGTACGAACAGCTGGTTTCATGCATGTACATGCTGTGAACATGAATGTGATCCTCCGGTTGGTTCATCCGCAATGGCTCCCGCCCTCTCCTGTTTTGCCACTGCATGACTTTGCACAGGCAAAGGTCAGCTGAAAACATGTTCTGCCTATCATGGCGATTTGCAAAAGCAGAGCGGATGCGCAGGAGGCTTTTATGTGTTTTGCGTATTTATATGTGCATTGTTTGATGTGTGTGTGTGTGTGTGTGTGTGTGAGTTTGTGTTTGTGTTTGTGCGGTGTTTTTTTTGCACCAGGGCAACGACCTGGAAGTTGTTTGCAATGTCACTTCAGCAATGCCTTGCCGCACATGGTTGGTGGTTGGCAGACAATGTTTGTTTATAGCCAAGATGCTGAGTGAGTCTACTGTCACAACTCGGCGGCACGTGTTCTGTGGCTTTTGGCTGGCGCTGGATGGCGTTGGATGGCGTGTTTGTTCGACAGCGAAAAGTGCTTGACTCGGACACTCGCGAGTCTGGACACTTCCCATGGAGTGAGTCGACTGCCAAGGGCGAGTTCCAAGAGTTCTCGGAGCCCTGGCACGTGGTAGCGCCGGGCATTCTTTGACGCTCTTGGAGTGCGTATCTTTTGACGCTTAAGTTTTTTTTTGGGGGGGGCTTCAGCAGTTCAGCTGCGGATGCATGGCAATTGCTCTATTCACGTTCAGCTGTGCCGCTGTTGTCGCCGTTGTTGCCGCAGTCAATGCGCTTGGCAACCCTAGTGCCATTGCCCTTCCCAATGCCTGGCAGCCGCAATGAATTCTACGTAGGCATGGTTCCATGTCCAGTATTTATGCACACGCGTATTTTGATTGGCTTGCATTTGCAATGGCCCCTGCTCTAACTGCTTGGCAAACCAGGTGCAGCCAACCGGTTCGCAGCCAGCTTCGCAGCCTGTAGCGGAAGTGCAGGAGGACACATTGTGTGTGTGTGTGTATATGTCTGTGTCTCTTTCTCTTTGTTGCTGTAGCTGTCTCTGTCTCTCTGTCTCTCTGTCTCTCTGTCTCTCTGTCTCCCTGTCTCTTCTGTCTCTTCTGTCTCTTCTGTCTCTTCTGTCTCTTCTGCCTCTTCTGTCTCTTCTGTCTCTTCTGTCTCTCTGTCTCTTCTGTCTCTCTGTCTCTTTGTCTCTTCTGTCTCTCTGTCTCTCTGTCTCTTTGTCTCTCTGTTGTCTTTTTTGTCTCTCCGTCTCTCTGTCTGTCTGTCTCTCGGCCTCTCTGTCTCTCTGTCACTTTGCCTCTCTGCCTCTCTGTCACTCTGTCTCTCTGTCTCTCTGTCTCTCTGTCTCTCTGTCTCTTCTGTCTCTCTGTCTCTCTGTCTCTCTGTCTCTCTGTCTCTCTCGGTCTCTCTCGGTCTCTCTGTCTCTCTCGGTCTCTCGGTCTCTCGGTCTCTCGGTCTCTCGGTCTCTCGGTCTCTCGGTCTCTCGGTCTCTCGGTTTCTCGGTCTCTCGGTCTCTCGGTCTCTCGGTCTCTCTGTCTCTCTGTCTCTCTGTCTCTCTGTCTCTCTCGGTCTCTCTCGGTCTCTCTCGGTCTCTCTGTCTCTCTCGGTCTCTGTCTGTCTCTGTCTGTCTCTGTCCGTCTCTGTCTGTCTCTGCCTGTCTCTGTCTGTCTCTGTCTGTCTCTGTCTGTCTCTGTCTGTCTCTGTCTGTCTCTGTCTGTCTCTGTCTGTCTCTGTCCGTCTCTGTCTGTCTCTGTCTGTCTCTGTCTGTCTCTGTCTGTCTCTGTCTGTCTGTGTTAGTGTTTTTAGGCTGCCAACTGCTACACCGAAGGTTGCAGACTAGCACAACAACGTGGTGTCAGAGTTTGATGCTACCCAAGGGCAATCTTTTCTGCAAGCTTGTCCCCACATGGACTAGGGGATTGCCAAATACCAACAAGAGAACGAAAGGAACCTTGCATGTTCGCGCACAGTCGTGACCCGTGCCATGCTGATCAGGAGCATGCTGAAACTCGCATGGACGAGGCAACGTTTGGACACGCATTGCAAGTTGCATGTGGCAGAGGTGCGTGTGTCCCATCAAGCCACTGACAGGAAGCTGAGAACGAAGGAGCAGAAGAGGAGTGGAATCGTGCGACGCGGTTCGTAGGTAACGTCTGGCGGCAAGCAAAGCCATACAGGCAAAAGGGCTCTCTTCTAAATCAGGCGGACTGCTTCCATGCAAAAACACATTCTAGAGCAAGCTCACGAACATGTCGAAACGTAGAAGGTGAGCGCGTTATTCTGGGAGTTGTATGCTAGTCAAGCCCACCACACTTTTCTGAGACATAATATGGCATGCAATCTTTGGCAGGGCACGTATCGACAAGAGACTGTTCGCACGAAAATGTGCATTGTTAACTGCAGCAAGATCAATCCAATATGTAGTGACTAGTCAGCTGACCCTGTGCCATGCTGGTCAGGACAGTGGGCTGTACGAGGCCATGTTTGGGAGATTTTGTTTGAAGTTGCATGTTGCAGTCTGAGTGAAAAGGCAGGCTGCGTGTCCGCGAGAGGTGCGCGTGTGCTATCAAGCCGCTGACAGGAGTCAGCTGAGAACGTGGAAGCAGCAGAAGAGGAGCGGGCTCGCAACGCGGTTCGATTTGTAGATGGAGACGCCCAGGGGCAGGTTATTCTGGGAGTTAACCAAGCCCACCACACTTTTCTGAGACATAATATGGCATGCAATCTTTGGTGCAGGGCACGCAACAACAAGAAGCTGTTCGCACGAAAATGTGCATTGTTACCTGCAGAAGCATCAATCCAAGATGTAGTGACTAGCTTCAGCTGACCCTGTGCCATGCTGGCCAGGACAGCGGGATGTACGAGGCCGCGTTTGGGAGATTCGGTTTGAAGTTGCATGTGGCAGCCCGAGTGTATGGCAGGCTGAGTGTCCCATCAAGCCGCTGACAGGAGCAAGCTGAGAACGTGGAAGCAGCAGAAGAGGAGTGGGATCGCAACGGTGAGCGTGTTATTTTGAAAGTTATGTGGCAACCAAGCCCACCACACTTCTCTGAGACAGAATATGGCATGAAAGCTTTGGTGCAGAGCACGCGACGACAAGAATCTGTTCCCACGAAACTGTGCATGGTTACCTGCAGAAAGATCAATCCAATATGTAGCGACTAGTCAGCTTACCCCGTGCCATGCTGGTCAGGACAGCGGGCTGTACGAGGCCACGTTTGGGAGATTCGGTTTGAAGTTGCATGTGGCAGTCCGAGTGAAAAGGCAGGCTGCGTGTCCGCGAGAGGTGCGCGTGTGAAATCAAGCCGCTGACAGGAGTCAGCTGAGAACGTGGAAGCAGCAGAAGAGGAGCGGGCTCGCAACGGGGATTGGCATCATAAAAAACCAAAAACAACTTATTAGGCATCAACAAAAACTTATTAGGCATCAGCAAAAACTTATTAGGCATCAAAAAAAAACTTATGCTCATTCCTATGGTGGGAAGGAAGGAAGGAAGGAAGGAAGGAAGGAAGGAAGGAAGGAAGGAAGGAAGGAAGGAAGGAAGGAAGGAAGGAAGGAAGGAAGGAAGGAAGGAAGGAAGGAAGGAAGGAAGGAAGGAAGGAAGGAAGGAAGGAAGGAACCACCACCGCTGATTTGTACAAGGTTGACAGTGATTAACGCACCCTTTGCTGAATCATCACTTCTTCGATCATCATCACCCTTTGTTGAATCATCACTTCTTCGAGCATCATGGGGGGGCTGCCCCCCCCCGCTGATTTTCAGAATGTTTACAGAGATTACCGCACCCTTTGCTGAATCATCACTTCTTCGATCATCACCACCCTTTGTTGAATCATCACTTCTTCGAACATCATGGGGGGGGCTGCCACCCCCCCCACCCCCCTGCTGATTTGTAGAATGCTTACAGAGCTTAACGCACCCCTTGTTGAATCATCACTTCCTCGAACATCATGGGGGGGGGCAGCCCCCCCCCCAACCCCCCCGCTGATTTTCCGAATGTATACAAAGCTTAACGCACCCTTTGCTGAATCATCACTTCCTCGATCATCACTCTCTTTCTTTCTTTCTTTCTTTCTTTCTTTCTTTCTTTCTGTATTTCTTTCTCGCTCTCTCTCTCTCTCTATCTGTTTTCTCCCTTTTTCTTCATGTTTATATCTATGTATATTTTTCTTCACTGCTTGCGAAAATGCTGCGCCTGCGCCAAACTCTGCACCGTACCTTGCGAAAGTGCTGCGCCTGCCGCGAAACGCACCTTGCGAAAGTCCTGCACCTGCCGCGAATCTGCATAGAAGGTTGACAGTGATTAACGCACCCTTTGCTGAATCATCACTTCTTCGATCATCATCACCCTTTGTTGAATCATCACTTCTTCGAGCATCATTGGGGGGCTGCCGCCCCCCCCCAACACCCCCTGCTGATTTTCAGAATGTTTACAGAGATTACCGCACCCTTTGCTGAATCATCACTTCTTCGATCATCACCACCCTTTGTTGAATCATCACTTCTTCGAGCATCATGGGGGGGGCTGCCGCCCCCCCCCAGATTTGTAGACTGCTTACAGAGCTTAACGCGCCCCTTGTTGAATCATCACTTCCTCGAACATCATGGGGGGGCTGCCGCCCCCCCCAACCCCCCCGCTGATTTTCCGAATGTATACAAAGCTTAACGCACCCTTTGCTGAATCATCACTTCCTCGATCATCACTCTCTTTCTTTCTTTCTTTCTTTCTTTCTTTCTTTCTTTCTTTCTTTCTGTATTTCTTTCTCGCTCTCTCTCTCTCTGTTTTCTCCCTTTTTCTTCATGTTTCTTCATGTTTATATCTCTGTATATTTTTCTTCACTGCTTGCGAAAATGCTGTGCCTGCGTCAAACTCCACCGTACCTTGCGAAAGTGCTGCGCCTGCCGCGAAATCTGGACCTCACCTTGCAAAAGTCCTGCGCCTGCCGCGAATCTGTACCTGACCTTGATAAAGAGCTGCGCCTGCCGCGAATCTGTACCTGACCTTGCTAAAGTGCTGCGCCTGCTTCGAAATCTGTACCTGACCTTCCGAAAGTATTGCGCCTGCTAAGAAATCTGTATCTGACCTTGCGAAAGTGCAGCGCCTGCCGCGAAATCTGTACCGCACCTTGCGAAAGTGCTGCACCTGCCGCGAAATCTGCACCTGACCTGCGAAAGCATTGCGCCTACCCTGCGAAAGTGCCGCGCCTGCCACGAAATCTGTACCTCACCTTGAAAAAGTGCTTCGCCTGCCACGAAATGAATAAGTTTTTTTGATCCCTAACAAGTCTTTTTTTGATCCTCGGATTTTTCATTTTAAATAGTAAATCAATGCGAATAAGTTATTTTTTGATCCCTAATAAGTTTTTTTTGATCTTCAGAAATAAGTTTTTTGTGATACCTAAAACGTTTTTTTTGATCCCTCACCCCTCGGAACGCGGTTCGATTTGTAGGTGGAGATGCCCGGCGGCAAGCAAAGCCGTACTGAAGCATCCATGCTCATCCTTTCGGAAAGCGCCAGCAAGCACCAATCTGGCATTCGACAACCATGACCAAGCTTCAAAAAGGCTTCCTCCGGTCACTAGTCGCACAGACAAGAGTGCTCTTGCAAGTCAGGTGGGCTGCTTCCATGCAAGAACAGATCGTAGAGCAAGCTCAGAACATGTGGAAAAGCACTGGGCAAGCGCGTCGTTGGAGTTGAATGCCAACCAAGCACTATTTGGAAGGCCAAGGCATGAGCAGGCGCACACTCCCCTGAACAGGCAACGGCGTGCAACCTTAGGCTCAGGACAGCCTAGAACGCTGGCATGTGGGCAGGAGCATGCTGCGGGGCATCCGGAAGAGCAGCAGGAGACGCAGCCTGCTTCACGAAAATGCGCGTTAGACATCGACCATGTGCTGCCTTCAGGATACTGTTCGCATGCACATGTACAAATTTCCCTGCAGCTAGATCAATTCAAGATGTAGTGACTAGTAAGCTGACCCCGTGCCATGCTGGTCAGGACAGTGGGATGTACGAGGCCACGTTTGGGAGATTCTCTTTGAAGTTGCATGTTGCAGTCCGAGTGAAAAGGCAGGCTGCATGTCCGCGAGAGGTGCGCGTGCGCTATCAAGCCGCTGACAGGAGTCAGCTGAGAACGTGGAAGCAGCAGAAGAGGAGCGGGATCGCAACGCGGTTCGATTTGTAGGTGCAGACGCCCGGCGGCAAGCAAAGCCGTACTAAAACATCCATGCTCATCCTTTCGGAAAACGCCAGCAAGCACCAATCTGGCATTCGACAACCGCGGCCAAACTTCAAGAAGGCTTAGGCAAGATCGTAGAGCAAGCTCAGAACATGTGGAAAAGCACTGGGCAAGCGCGTTGTCGTTGGAGTTAAATGCCACCCAAGCACTATTTGGAAGGCTAAGGCATGAGCAGGCGCACACTCCCCTGATCAGGCAAAGGCGTGCAACCTTAGGCTCAGGACAGCCTAGAACGCTGGCATGTGGGCAGGAGCATGCTGCGGAGCATCCGGAAGAGCAGCAGGAGACGCAGCCTGCTTCATGAAAATGAACGTTAGGAATTGACCATGTGCTGCCTTCAGGACACTGTTCGCATGCACATGTAAAAATTTCCCTGCAGCAAGATCAATCCAAGATGTAGTGACTAGTCAGCCGAATCTGTGCCACTCCGGTCAGGAGCGAGCTGAAACTGGGATGGACGAGGCAATGCTTGGGAGATTCTTTGGGAGGTTGCGCATGGATGCACAAAGGATACGTATTGCAGGCTGAGTGTCTGCAAGCACTGACAGGAGCAAGCTGAGAACAAGCAAGCCATGCACGAGGAAGCGATTTGATAGCACTTTTGAAGTTGGAGGTGGCCAATTGAAGAGCTTAGGGCTGATGGCCGTACTTAGTATCCAAGTTGTGTGACCTTTTCTGAAAATCTGTCTCGAGTTTGTGCCCTGAGCAGGGGAGAGACAGGAGGACCAGCTTATAGGCTGTTGAATCCAACTTTTTGATTTTGGCGCTTGGTGAGGCAGAAGTGCAAACGGCCATTGGGGGGGGGGTGGGGGTATTTGGAAGGAGCAAGTCCCGCAGCACGCAGAAGATGTTGAGGAGCCACCGCCAGAGGCGGAGAGATTGCTTTGCTTGCAGGACGTTGCGCTTGTCTGGTTTGTCGGCAACAAGGAACGTGCTGTAACTGCAATCAAGCTACCAGCGGCTTGCCTTCTAAGTAGCGCTTCTTGTGTGGAAGGTGGTGTTCGGGATGTTTGGCCATCCGTGCGTCGCACGCGCGACCTTTTGACCAGTCTCATGATCACCCCACGCTGTAGACAGACCATTGGTTTGCGGCCTTCCTTGTTGGCACCTCTGAAGCTGGCAATGCACAGGACCAAAGAACACGAACCAAACCAAACAAAAATCAATCCAAACAAGCAGACAAGACAAACAAAAAGCCAACAACATGGAAACAAATGACACCAAACAAAAAAACAAGTCACAAATGCAAGTGCTCCAGCATGCTTGCCAGGTGGCCGCATCGCAGGCTGGAGGCTGAGCGCTGTGGAGTGGATGGTAGGGGTTGCTTCAGTTGTTTTCAGGGAAAGTGCAGTTCCCCTGGCAGGCTGAGGCGACTAGGTGACTAGGTGACTAGGTGACGAGCTGAGGCATTGCAATGGTCGCAGGGTATGTGTGCGCAGCTCAGACTGATTGCATGCCAAGGGAGCTGCGCCCAAAATTCTGTCAAAAATTGTCCGGACAGGTGATGCTTCGCCCGATGACTGCATTGCGCCCTGGCGGGACCAGATGCGGGTCAAGGATCTTCCTGAGCCTTTATGTGGATAAACTTCCGACATTCGGGGCTCCAAGATTAAATTCGTACAGTATGTTTTTTCTGCTGACCTGTGCATGACTTGGAATCGTAAAATTCCTGTGTGCTCTCGCCATTCCGGTTTGACAGAGTGTGACATGTCACGGGATGGGCGCCAACTTAGGACAACACGCTGCAAGTCATGCTTGATCTTTCCGAGGACACAGGCTGGGCACCTGGGTTTCGTCTGAGCAGCGGCCCTGCCCCCCCACGCCTGCAGACCCCATGGCACGCGCGACACACACACACACACCCAATTTGGTTGTCTCAACACAGGGGGGACGCTCCCTTTCGAACACACCCAGCCAGGGTACCCTCAAACATATTGGCTCCGGCTTGGCTTGACCCGCTTCTCGCGCGCAGGCTTCAGCCCGAGCAAAGGCCCGCCAGGGTTTGGATTGGCTTTCTGGAGTGATTCCCAATCGCTCCACATGGGTGTGATTGAATGCTTGAGACCTGCTTTGGAGTCTGAACCGCCAGTATATGACACGAGCAAGGAGGAATGATTTTGGTCAACCATTCAAGCGGAATTGGGCCAAACAAAACCAACTACCAGCCTGCGTGTTGCGCCCTCATCCGACGCAGGATCCGCTTGCCCTCCCCAGCACGCCGCTGGGGCATCCGCCGGATCTCATCCAGTCAATGCCTCGGGAGCATTTGGCCATTTTTGCTCGGCAGGACATGTCCGACAAAAGTTTGGTCGGGAATTCGATGGTCGCATGATGGCTTAAGAGTTGAAACTTTGCCAGTGGGGAGGACGTAGCTGGCATACTTTGGCGGTTCCAACCGTTCCGAACACTTCCTGACTGCATGGCCTGGAAGTGGCTGAGGCAGACACGCAGGATCCGATTAGTCAAACTTCAGATGCGCCCGCCTCGATCCCAGCGAGTTTGCAGGAATTTGCTGGAAGCACCCTGGATGGATCATGGAGGCGAGCTGGTCCGCTTTGAGTGGCTCAAGCTGACTTAGTGCGAAGCTTTTCACCCTTGCTTGGCACAACTTCGACACTGAAAGATGGGCCAGACACTGCCAATACCAGCTTTGCAAGCAAACATCCTGAATCTGCAGTAGACCCTTTCTTGTCAGCGTTATGTTGGTTGCCACTTCCCTCTGCGCACCTTGGCTGCCTATGCGGGCTTCACTGAAACTGGGATCTTCGTAAGTCTGATGCCTCAAACTCGTACTCCAGCAAGCCCCGCATTTTTGTTTGTGGAAGTGGGGGGGTGTCGGGGTCCTTTTCTAGCAGGACTGACAAACTGTGGCGGTCGCCAAGCTGTAGCCAAGGGAGCGCGCGAGAGAGCCCACTGGCACGGAGTTCCAGCAGACGGTCGTCCGGCTCGGCGCTTAGCGGTTGCACTTGGCGGTTGAGTCACGGCTTCGGCCAGAGCAAAGGGCCCCGGGGTGTCTTACATGTCATCGAGCCTTTCGGAGTCTAGGTGGTCTTTTGTGGCACTGGGCCAGTGGCAACCATTAGAACCAAAATGAAACCAGGGACTCGACGAATAAACACGTCGCTCGATCGGGCGCCTGCGAGGGAATTTGCGGGGTGCCTTCTGGAAACAGGCCAAGATGCTGGGCCGAAACAGCCCAAAGCAGCAAAGCAACAAGCCGCAAGTGAGGTTTGCAATGACAAGTGGAGAGCGCCACAAAAGGCACAGAGTCCTGCAAGCGGCTATTGACAAGGCGGTGCGTGCTGGGCCATGATGCCAGCCACAAGTCCAAATGCAAAAGACAACAGGCAGCTGACCAACCTAAGATGAGTATGATGAGGGCCGTCGTAGTTCCGCAGCCACACTTGCACAGGCAAGCGCCCGCCCATTCGCCCACCACCTTGGCTGGTTTGTTTTGCAGCATTGATTTCAGGAGCGCAGGGCGCCGAGAGTGGGCTCCAGAGGCGGGAACAAAGAGTCGAGCTGGTAGCCACATGTTTTTGTTTTTTTTGGGCGAAGGATTTGATGCAAATCTGTGAGAGCTGGTAGTAATTAGTTATTAAAATGCTGCCGCCCAGTACCATCCCCTTAGTGCTAAGCATCACTCAAGTTTCTCAAGCAGGCTTCTACTCAATGACGACAAACCCGCATTCGGGCTCTTGGTCGGTTCAAATTCCAGCCCAACATCAACCCCCGTCTGTAGTGCCAAAATAGTAGCCAATTTCTGCCCAGCCTATTCTTATGAAACTTAAGAACAGGATGAGGCTCGTTTTGGGAACGGGTGTCGACTAGATTAGCGTTTTGAGCAGCTACTTTTTGAAAGCTTTCTTGACTCGAGCGATGGTGATGCTTGTGGTGTGTCAGGTATTCAGCGAAACACCACTGGTATGTGCTGCCAGAACGGTGCAAAACAGTGCAGGCAAAGGCATCTAATGTATCAATCAGATCCTGTTCTAGCAAGGCTGAATAAAGCTAAACAGGCCGCATCCCCAGCATCCCCACGTCTACGGGCATCCCCACGTCTACGGGCTGGTCCCAGTCGTGGGGGAGTTTGGGCTATCCGTGCGTGTTCCGCATTTTGCATGTGCAGCCCTTCCCAGCAGGCGGGAAGAAGAGGTCGGCAGCTTTTGCATTCTTGTGGCTGAATTCGCTCACTTGAAGCAGAACCAGGTGCCTACCTTGTCTTGAAGCAGCTACCCAACAAAGAAAGCGATTGCCCATGAAGCACCATTGGCCAGCCAATTTTCCTTCAACCCCTCAAACATGATCTGCTCGCCTTGGACTCTCCACCTGCGGCCCATTTCTGTTGCCAGGTGTTGAAACAATGAGCTGGGCGATGCTGGGATTGTGCGGGGGATGCTGGGGATGATCCGCTCGGCGGGCGTGTTATGTTCTCGACACTCGCAAAACCAACACTGGTGTCGCATACGCATGCACTTGGACACCCATGTGCGGCTGTATGCGCAGAATGCATCCATGTATGATGACTCCGATGATGACACAATGGGGAAGCCTGGATTCAGCCTGATCACGAAAGCTAGCTTTAGCTGAAGTTTCTCCTTGCGTAAGCAAGGTAAGGGGCTCAAATGCCGAAAGATTGATTTTTTCAATTATTTGAGCCGAAAAGATTGAAAAACATCAATTATTTAGACCCCCCCCCCCCGGGTCTCAGGCTCGATTCCTCCCTGGTCCATCCCCCCCCCCGGGCAGTGGCTCAGTGTTCAGCAGTCTCGGTTTGCCCGTTTTGGACTTGGTGCTACGAACTTTTACATGTTCCACCGATTCAGCTTGTTCATTTGAGACCTCAGTCTTCTCGGTAAACCACCTCGCAAGAATCTTTGCACACGCTGCATGCAGAACCCAGAGGTGCTTTAAGACAGCTTCTGCCGCCTCTCGTTGTTTTCATTTTTCAAGGTTTGCCACGCCACCATGTGCGTTTGCGTGTCGCATCCTACGAATCTTGCCGGGCCTCTCGTTGTACACAAGCTACCTATGAATCCACTCTGTCACCGACCCATCTCATGCAACAACTGCTAGCTTTCGTTCACCCGCTCCTCAAGTTCTGCGAATCCCAAAAAGCCGTTCACAAACTCAGTGTGTAAGACAGTGGCACCGATCAGTGAGACCTCCCTCCCGTATGTAATGGTCAAGATCCCCCGCATCCTCAGTCGACATCCCCAGCATCCCAAATTGGCCACGGGCTTATTCATCAAACAACTAGGTTCCACCATCCTCAGTCGACGCTTGCAGCATCCCATCCAGTGGGATCTTGATCGCTG